CCAACATCCCTGAATTTTCAGGGACTTTGAAAATCCAGACACTTTGCTGCCCTGAAATATCACCAACCTTTTTTTCTGGAACCAGACACGTAAAAAACAGAAACACGATCAGTACGGCTTTGAAGCCCATTTTATGAGAGAAGCCGACAACGAGAAACGAATTTGGTGCCCTGTCGTCACTTCACTGTTTCAGAAAGTTCCTGCTTGCAGTACTCAGATTTTTAAAATGGCGGATAGTCGTAGCATCAATGTCGGTTTTACTAATGGATCCCGTATTGCCAGTTTTCATTCCGATTATCTGTGTAGATTTTTCATACGCCGAAACAAAGAACCGTGTCCAATTTCACAGCAAAGCCAGAGACATTTTTGATATGTTGAACATGATAGAGCAGGTCAGAGATCGTAATGTCGTTTCCTTTTTTTTTTTTTTTTTTTTTTTTTTTTAAACAGTTCCAAGTATGATCTCATGGTCCCCCCTCCCTCGGATTCGTGTTTTTTTCTCCTCACACTAACAAAAAAACGGGTTCCGTGCGTTAATTTGTACTTGACGTTGGCACATCGTTGAAGATATTTTGCACACCAAGAACAGTTTCAGTCAAGTACCTATCCACCCATTAAGAGCTTTTTTTGCTCGTATCCTCTTTTTGTCTTCCAACTCGTAATTAAGGGAGAAATAGATATGACGTATTAAAATGCAATTTTCTTCGTTGACACCTTTTCCATGCATAGAACAGCTCCAAATATCTACATTAAGTAATATCCTCTTAGCATGCATATCATCTCCAAAGAAAACCAACCCATCTGCCACTTGTGCAATTCATCACCTCTAACCATCAAACACATACTTATGGACTGCTCTTCCCTCCGATATCTCCAATCACAGATCTGCTCCCCTACAATCAACAGAAATACAAACCCTCTTACATGCGATGAACCCAATATTACCACCAAAATTCTAGAACTTTTCACCCCTCTTAATTTAAAAATCTAAATTTTCGTTTATACTCCCATTTTAAAAATTATCTGTAAAGACGTTAATACCCTGAGAAGCTGAATGTCTTAAAATTATACTAACTAACTTACATATTTATATGTAGGCACGCTTTAGAATTCATTTTGACGTAGAGTGTACAGCCAGCCCTGTTTTCTATGTTTTTCAATGGGTTTTGTACCAAATCTTATGGTACGAGTGTTATTTTTTCGTGTTGTTTCATTAGCTTCGTTTTAAAGGCTTGATGTAAGCCTTGCAAGGCTTGTTTTAAAGGTCGTTGTAGAAAGAAATATGTTATAATTAAGAAGTTCTGCCTCTTGTTAGATTGTTTTGAAACTTTTACAATTGAATTATTGATTGTAGTCAGGAAAGTATAACTGTTCAAAGAGGTGATCAGTTTTTTCGTGGATACGTCGTTTTGTATTGAAGTTGTTAACTTAGCAGGTGTTATGACCTTTAACAGTATGTGTTTGAACAAGTATCTGTCATGGCGGCGGAAGAAATATGTGAATATTCTAATCTTTATTACTGCGAAGGATAATTTAATTCAATCAAACATGTAATTACCTACTTTATTGAATAATTGAAAATTGCTTTTTTAAAATTTTGAGTCAAGTGAAAGTTTTTTTTCTGTTCTGCTTTCTTTTACATCATTGAATAGCACCAAATAGAGCTTTGAATTTGTTTAGAAAAAGGCCATTAAAAGTATGTGTCTGTAATTCATGTGTAATATTTTTTGTTTTCAATTTAGAAAGATTCTCTTTTTCCATTTTATTGATTGATTTTTCATTGAATTTTAAAATAGAATTTGAAAAATGAAATTGAAAACAATAAATAGCCTTTTCCTACTGTAATTGAACTTATCTTAAGTGCTGTCTCTATAGAAGCGCTCCTTTGTAGTTGAATTGAAGAATGAATTCAAATACAGACGGGTGCGCAAAAAAAGAAGCGTATTTATCTTCGATTGCAACTTTACACGCCACTTCTCATGTTTTATTTTATTTCAGGGGTTTTCTTTAAGAATATACGTACAGTTTTTCTAAAGGACCTTCCGAAGATTTTTCGGAATGATCTCAAACAAAGTCACTGAAAATTTCGACGCGACATTTTCGTTTGTCCTTTTTTCTTTCTATTAAACCCAAATTGGTTTTCCGTGGTTTGAATTTCTGAATCTTTGCAATAATCAATCCCAAAAACCCGGCAAAGAATCAAAAGTGTCTGGCTGATTTCAAACAAAATCAAAGAAAATTTCGACCCGATATTTTCGTTCATTCTATTTTTTTTTTTATTGCTTTCATCAACAAAAAATAGAAAGTAAACATCGTCCGAATTTCTGAATCCTTGCAATAAAGATCAGAAGCGGACTGGCTCCTCGACCGGAGAAAATTATATTTTCACCGGAAAGCCTACAGGATTGCAAGCTCGCAACAACATCAAGAAAATACGACTTCCCAACGACTTGAGCGCGCACCGTGATTTACGCGCAATGCATGAAGTATCCTGTAAACTTGTAAGGCGATATGGTGTGCGTTGCGCGCACCGTGCTGTACGCGCAATGAATGAAGTATTCTGCGGTCTTGTAAGGCGCTATCATGCGTTTAGCGGCGTGCGCGCCAGCCCCGCGCCGGCCGCACTGTGTTAAACGTGATTATTCAAACTTACGGCGTCAATGGTTTTCAAATTATGCTTTTAAATTTTATGTAAAGTTGTTGGAATTATTGTATTTTCTAATAATAAAACATTGCATAAAACTCAACCAATTTTCTTCCCTTTTTTTATATATTTTTATTATAAAAATAATTTTAAAAAGCATGCTGCTCAGCAATGAAGTGGCGTGATCATTTGGACTACATTTTGCCTTTCGGAACTATAATTGCTGACTCATCTGTACAAACTCTTGTGTACGTAAGGAAACTAACGGCACATACGTTGTTCCTAAACGAAGTCAGAAATTGTGGTTCCTAATTGCAAATGAACTTTATTTGATCAATGAGCCCTTCCGAAGCGTAGGTCATGGATTTGACGAAGCGGAGGCTATGGATTCGATCGAAATAAATTGATCGAAAAGTAAAAACGTGAATTGATCGAAGAACTCGTGAATTGATCGAATCGAAGCCAGTTTTTTAATAATTAGTCGGTTGAATTGGTGTCGATCGGTTCGCGGCCATCGGTAAGGAGGTAAAGATTTGAAAGTTTATTATTGTAACTTTTCCTGCCGATTTTCTCTCTTTCAAATCCATTGTCACTATTGTCATAAAAGTATATATTATAATCTCATGTTACAATTGTTTCCATAATTAATTATATATGTGATTTTTCCCGTGGTTTCAAGTATATCCGACGTATCGACTGTCTAGTAACGCCTGTCGTATGTTGCCCATCAGTGATAAGGGCCAACTGAATGGATGGAAAACAAAATCACAAAAAATCAGCATTTCAGACGTGTTTAATATCCACCCTACCACGCACAATTTGCGTGCTTCATAGTACGCATTTCCAAATTTATGACGTTCTGAAACATTCCCCCTCCTTTTTTTCTGAATCTCTGTCAATCAGGTTTGCACTCAGCGGTAGGGGAAAACTTAACCCAAAGGAACACGCAATCGCGCATTGCGTTTCACACGAATGATTCCGATCTCTTTTCGATCTCTCCATGTTTGTGTGCTGAAAAAAACGTTTTAAATCAATTAAATTTATACGTAAGGAAGATGTACTACAGTTTACGAGATTATTTTTTCATTTAGGGTATGTTCTCTCAAGTGTAACGTATATTAACGGTAACCTAGAGTACGTGCTGGCGGACACGGTAAAACAGGGGTACACGAAGAACAAATCTACGTATGACGTATTTTAGAACGTGGCCGTATCACTGTAGGCAAGTAGTACTGCTTTCAAACCGCTTTCATCGCCTACTTTGGTATTGAAGGCGAACTGTGGGCTGATTATTGAAATTGATAGACAAAACTCATAGACAAAGAAAGACATAGGGAGTATGGAGCAATCCTATAGGTTAAAATGGGCGGTTCCTATATACCGAAGGAAAAAATGATGAACTAACTATAGGTTCTCTCTTGGTTTGCTGTTAGTTAGTCTACTCGTATTGCCTATTTCCTCTGTTGATTGCAACCACCCGCTTTCACCAATAGGATCCCTCCGTATCCTTTTTATCCTCTATGTATATAACTTCGGCCATCAATTTCAATTATCGGCCTGCGGGTTTGAATCAGTGTGAAACGGCTAGTAGATATAGTATAGTCATTTCCCGGAAAAAAAGAGGGAGAGGTCGTTGTATCACCGGGTGCTTTCGATATAGTAGAGATAAGAGCCATCCCAATTCCTTTTTTCCCGTTGATATACTGACATGCCATGAAGTGACAGAATCAGTTTTGTTAAAGTACTACGTAAACTGACAAAGTTATTCCTGCTTCTTTGTAGCATTTAAATGTCAAGAGGATATTATTGCACTTCAAATTCAACTCGGTAAAATAAGTATAGGTAAGTTTTCCCACCCCAAACAGTCTTGCTTGTCAAAGGATCAACGACTGCTAATAAGTTTGTAGCAAACACAGTAAATAAAAGTAAGCAAAATTGTGTGATAATATGAGGAGTAAAACACGAAGTAACACGAGCGGTTGGTTATATTTGTGTGTTCGTTTTCCCTGTGTCAAATCGACCAAATCTGGGTCAATTAGATCAAAATTCTGCCGATATTTTTAACTTAATCTAGATGCGATGTATCGCGTGTCAGTTTGACCATGTCAGAAAGCTTGACTAATCACCTTAAATACAAAAATCATGGAAATATCACAGATTTTTCCCCCTTAAATCCTAATGATTTGTGAATTTTTTGCATTTTGGTCAAGGGAATCATGGAATCAATAGGTTTTTTTTTATATATATATTTGAAAAGTAAAACGTCGTATAAAATGCTTCACAATTACGATACTTATTAAGGAAGGTAACGTGTATAGGTAACCGTTGTATAGATTTAGCTAGAATAAAAACATGCTAAACGTTATAAAAATGTAGATTTTATTTTTATTTTGGATGATATAAAAAACACACGAAATAAATTAGAATAAAAGTGTGCACCAGTCAGTCAGTCAATTAGTCAGTATTTGTCAGTATGACATGAGTCCTGTTGTGCATATATTCTTACGGGTCTCAGGGCTTGTGTCTGAATGTACACAGTTCCGTTTGGCAGAAATACGTCCAATTGGAAAATTTTTCAACTTTGCTCATTGTATCTAAGTAATGCTCGTTCGTGATAGCAATGCAATTTGACTTCAAAAACAGGGGCGGATCCAGCAATTTGGCAACATCGGACTTCCTCCATTTAAACCCATGTTAAATAATCGATTCTTGTCAGAGCACCTGGCCTCCACAAGAATCGACACATTCCCATAGGTTTAAATAGGGTAGAAGCAATGTTGCCAATTTGCTGGATCTGCTAATGTTTAAAAAACCCTCGATTGTTTAGTGTTAGAGAAAAAATAGAAAACATTGCCGTATTTAAGTGATTGTAGCACGTGGGCTCTCCGCCTCCCCCTCCCCCTCCACCGCAGGGTACGGCAAGGAACAAATGGAATGAGAGAGGGATATCGGAGACAGGTATTCGGGAATAGGTTGATCAAAAATTACAAAAAACGCCCGATTTCTGTAATCTTCATTCCAGTTTGTGACATCCATACGTTGCGTTGTCTCAACTCTCTCTCTCTAAAAGGATTCCAGAAGGGACTTCACCTCTCTCAAAAGGACTGCGGGCTGATTGTTGAAATTGATAGACAAAGCTATAGAGAAAGTAGACAAAAGGTATATGGAGGGATCCTATTGGTGGAAGCGGGTGGGTACAATGAATAAAGGAAGGTAGATAATAGACTAACGAAAGGCAACCCGCACGAGAGACCCTGAAACCAACCATTTCAATCAATTGGGTCGCTCCATACTCCATTGTCTTCTTTGTCTATCGCTTTGCCTATCAATTTCCACAATCAGCCCGCGCTGTTCCTCAAAATTGGATCTTTAAGAACTCTGGAAGGATCTCGTGTTTTGAAAGAGTGTAACTTTCTCACTTTCACTTCAAAACGCCTGTTAGCAAACCATGAGGTTTTATCAGTCCATCCTAGCTGTCGTGCAGTAAAAAGTTAAATGTCCGTGTGTCGATCTATTTGCTAGGTGTTTTGAGTGCAGACTTCATTGGACATTTTTATTTTGTCTTTTCTTAGCCTATAACGGACACGGGGCATCCTTTGCGTGGGAAGTTCCTGTGCTGCGCTGATCTTTAGTCTTGGCGCCAGCCATTACTGTACGTTCGAGGAAATCTTCTTGCTTCGTCCTTAGAAGTATCCTCTGAAATTTTTCAATGCTATGTACGCGTCAATGAGGTGTAGACCGCCCAGAACAAAACCGAACATCTGAAATAGTGAAACACATGCACACAAAAAATGAATTAACTCAAATAAATGAATGCCGAGATAAACTCAATTGTTCACATCGATTGTGAAGATGTAAGTGAATTTCAGACCTTTGGGATGCACTCAAAGTGATTTTTAAGGCATTTCACGCCAGAAACAACTCTTTGTTTCTCTCTGGCAAAGATTTAAAACCGATGCACTTAAATATTCAATGGGGTATGGTACTTACGTAGGCAGCAGTCATTGCAGGATAAACTGTGTAAAATGGCGTGATCAAGTAGTATGGATACAGGAAAGTATTGACTGCAAACCAAAGGTACGCAGATGTGCTCAGGTACAAACTAGCTGCCATGCAGTTGAATAATAATTCCTGATAAAAACAAAAGTACGTTATTTATTTTGACATAAAAAAGCACAAAACTACAATAAGAGGAATTAAAACGTGTCGCAGTGCATTATTGAAATATTGAGAAAGGAAAAAAATAAGCTCACAAGTTACCTAGTTCACTGCAATTATTTTGATCCGTTTCGGAACGCTACACCCTTTATCGGCTAAATTCGACAGCGCGACTGTGAGATGTGAGGGGAGTTCAGCTGTATGAAACAGATTTGTAGAGATATATTTTCTATACAAATAACCACAGTACATCCTAAGTTTCCTTTTTTAGTGATCCATGAATATTGTGGTGTTCTGTCAGGCCGTTAAAGCAAGGCTCCCCTTCGGAGACTTAAACGCATGGATAGCAAAGTAAACCAACAAACAGCAATCTCGTTTTCTTTAGTGTTGCAGCTGAAATTACCAAATGCCTTCGGGCGACGTTAGGCAAGTTAATGTTTTTCCTGCTGACTTCAACGCTGAACACAAAAAACAACCACTCGTAGCGCGAATCATTCTCCTCGATTTCTGGGTCCGAAATTCGAATTTTTCTTGGATGATGACTGGTGATAGCATTCTGAGGGTGTAAGTAAGAAACAGAAATATGCCAGTCATAGCCACATTCATATCAGCATGAAATTTCTACTTGAAAGTAAAAAAAAAACTGTTCCCTTCAAGTTGGGAAACGGAGATAGCATCTCCTGTTTCCTATGTTGAAAGGATGTTTTAACTCTGAAACTCTCTCTAGGATGTGATATATTTTCAGAATGAAGGCGTTTTCATATGCATCGCCTCTAGCAAAGAATTATCTCAAGCAATCGCATTCACTCACTAATTCACGGTGCTTCGCTGTTTATCAGGTATTTCAATGATGCAATCATTACCGGCCTTTGCGGCGACGCTATACACGGAAAAAATGACATAGTGCTGAGCACTAACTGTTTAGATCAAATGGAGCCAGCTAGTATGGCAGCAGCGCTGAGCCCTGAAACTATAGGGTACGAACTGTAGGTCTCAGCGCTAACTGCCTTACTAGCTGGCTCCATTTGATCTAAACAGTTAGTGCTCAGCACTATAAAGTTTTTTTCCGTGTAGTATCTTTTCACAATAAAGGCGTTTTATATGCGTCGTCTCTTTCAAAGAATTATCTCAAGTGATCGTTTTACTCACTAATTCACGGTGCTTCACTGTTTATCGGATTTTTGAATGATGCAACTATTCGGCCTCTGAGGCGACGCTAGGAAGTATCTTTTCACAATGAAGGCGTTCTTAATGCGTCGCGTCGTCTCCATCAAAGAATTATCTCAAGCAATCGCATTTATTCACTAATTCACGGTGCTTCGCTGTTTATCGGATTTTTGAATGATGCAACTATTCGGCCTCTAAGGCGACGACGTTAAGAAGTATCTTTTCACAATGAAGGCGTTTTTTTCGCGTCGTCTCTTTCAAAGAATTATCTCAAGTGAACGCTTTACTCACTAATTCACGGTTTATCCAAAGCACGCCACGCGCCAGTATGGTATTCTACCGTGCCAAAGAAGAAAGCCGTATGAGCCTTTAGGCGATGCCAGATGTTATCACTTCTCTTGTTGACTTTATCGGCCATACTTTAAATATTGAAATTTTTTTGTAAAACTTTTTCTTACCGATCCTTCCTAAAACTTGTCGATTGTACATTACAGCTGTTTCGGGTTTTCACCCATCGTCAGGTGATTTAAAATAAAATAAAATTTTTTTAGTTTTTATATTTTTAAATCACCTGACGATGGGTGAAAACCCGAAACAGCTGTAGTGTACAATCGACAAGTTTTAGGAAGGATCGGTAAGAAAAAGTTTTACAAAAAAATTTCAATAGATGCCAGATGTCCTTCACTAAAAAATGAACTCGCACTGGGAAAATCGTGACTATTTTTTGTTCAATTTTTCATCGTACAATTTTATTCGCAATTTGATCTGAAATTTCTGAATTTTTTCCTCTTTTTTTCTGAATCTGTCTCTTTTTTTCTGAATTATTGAATTTCGGAAAAATATGAGTCATTTCCCTTAAAAATACATGTTTTATCCACGAACTTGGCAACTCTCAGATTTTTATACGGCTTTCTTCCTTAGCACGGCAGTATTTCCCTCTACTGAATGCCAAATTATGCCAGTTGCCAAATTTCCTTCGATAAAACGTTCATTTTTGCGGAAATTTATAGGACGCCTGATGGAATCTTGAAAATTTCACAAGTTGTAAGTATATACTGCCGTGCTAAGGAAAAACGCCGAATGAACCTTCAGGGGTTGCCAAATCTCTTTTGATAAAGTATAAATTTACTGGGGCATTAACTTAACACTAAACATCATATGTATGGAGCAAATTTATCCGGTTCACACATGGTCAAAATCTATGTACGGATTACTTACGAACATCGAGGAGCGAATGAGTTTGTAAGATTTGCTGGAGAGGACGTATGATAGGAGGAGAACCGATGACGTCATCATGCAAGATGCTACAGTTGACAGGAAAGATTCGAAAGAAAATCCGATCGTAAGTGCGTGCTTGAGCCCGAAATTCAGAAGCAAACTCTGACATATACTCGCTACAACCTGCTCAAAAGAAAGATACAAACAATTTATCAACTGCTGCTAGCTTAAATTAGCTATTCCTACACTGGAAAAAAAACACATTGGATCTAGAGTCCAGACTCTTTGAAACATTGACAAGAAAAAATACTCTTGATTAAATCAGATTTTTGCTCAAATCAAAAGGAAATCCGCTCAAATTGAGAGGCTTGGTTCTTGATTTAAGCAAAAATCCGATTGAATCAAGAGTATTTTTTATTGTCGATGTTTTTAAGAGTCTGTACTCTAGATCCAATGTGTTTTTTTTTTCCTAGTGTATCATCGTGTCGTCTATGTCATATTTTTAAAAATCTGCGCTTGAATTATGCACATCTTTCAGTTTATGCGCTGATGAACCACCTCTGTAGTCTCTGATTGGTTTCTCGCCGAAATATAGCAAATTAAAAAATTGTCGTATTAACGTAATATTAACAGAAGAAAAGACAAATTCATAACTTCAAAGGCTCTGTTTACGGTATTGACTTAAAAATTGACGGAAACTCAGAGTTTTAAACATTCTTAAAAGTGATCTCCAACCATTTAATCGAGAGGGAATTCTACTTATTGTCATGTTATAGACTTGGTGCAGAAGATAACCTAAATGATTCGAAGCATTCTAACCATTTTGCCTGTTTGTGCATGTGCTCGCTCGTGAATTTTTAAGATCAATTTTAACCTCTTTTAATCTTCTTTAATTTTTAATCTCTATCCTATGTTCCTTTATAGTGTTAATAGATTAAAAGTGTCTTTCTCATTTCTTTATTCCTCGAGTGGTCAATTTAAATATTATCAACACATTCAAAGTGTTTTGGTTGGTTTGAGGAGGAAACATACTGTAGCCAGTGGCGGAACTACAGATTTTTAATGGAATGAGTCCACAGTTTAAAATTTCTCACCGGGGGGGGGGGGCTAAATATAAAAATTCATGAAAATCGCATTTTTGGGAAAGATTTTTATAATGAGAGGGCCAGATTCCCCTTCATCGACTTTGGACTACGCCATGCCGTTGGTTATACACTGGAAAAAAGTTTTTGAATGTCGAGTCCTGACTCTTGAAAAAATTGACAAGGAAAATACCCCCGATTGAGTCGAGAGCCAAGCCTCTTAATTTAAGCGAATTCCCTTTTAATTCAAGCAAAAATCCGATTGAACCATGAGTCTTTTTTCTTGTCCAAGTTTTTGAGTGTCAGGACTCAACGTTCAGATGACTTTTTTTTCCTGGGTAGGGTGCATTCATCTTTGTTAGTCTCGTGATCCAGTCTCCAAAAACAATTCGAGTTTTTTGTAGAAAATTCTCATCCTATGAGAGAAATTTTGCCGGCTTCCGCTTTTTTTTCTTTTTTTTTGGGGGGGGGGGTTAATCAAAGTACAATTATATTACATCATATTTTCAGACCTTACGGGGTTTTAAATACTTTTACCTACTAGAGGGCTCCGCCCCCTGGCCGCTCCGCGGCCCAACCCCCTCGTATATTCTGTCAATTCGTTATGAAAATATCACTTAATTTTTTTTAATTTACATTATTCTCGTAAATTGTATTAATATTAATACTGCTGAAGTTCTGTTAAGTGCTTATTCATTCAAAAGATCATCTTCAATTTAGCTAAAAACTTACTTCAATTGAGGTTGGAGTTTTAAAAAAAGGTGAATAATCAGTTTGAAACGGTTTATATGGGATAAAATAAAATGGATGGAAAGCAAATAGGATAGAATATAATATAATATAAACGAAATATAATAGGTTTGTCATTAATAAAACGGGATGTATTTATATTAACCTTGATAAAAGGCCACAGGTCGGTTTGATATTTAAATTAAAGAGTGGCGGTGATGCGTAACAATTTTTGGATTTGCTGCTGCAATTCCCGAGTAGTAGTGATCGCCATAAATTGCGATTTAATCGGAGAATATATCGCGATTTTATCGACGTCGCGATTTATTGCAATATTATCGGATAAAAAAATCGCGATTTTATCGACGGCGAATCATCGCAATATTATCGGGAGAAAAATCGCGATAAATTGCAATAAAATCGCGATTTTATCGAACGCGATTTTATAGAGATAAAATTGCAATAAATTGCAATTTTTCATCAACGCCTACTAACGCATGAATGACGCTTATGAAACATGTTTCTATGCCGCCGCCGCTGCCGTTTTTACCAAGGTCCGTTGGTAACTTTACCATCTCTTTTTTTTATCAATCATTGGTAATGTTAGAAAGGCAGACCGGTATTTTTACTGATTTTTCCAGGTAAGAATACCACTTTTATTCGTAATCAATTCCCGGTAACTTAATTTACCATTTTATCTCTGTAATTCTACCACAGGCGATAAAAAATATCGGCGTTTTTACCAAGGTCCATCGATATCTTTGCCATCTCACTATTCTTGGTAATTTTACAAAGACAGAATGATGAGATTACCAGTAGAACCTCATTTTACCAACCGTATTTCAT